ACCTGTACCTTGTTGCCTGCAGTCAATCAAGAAATGGTGCGCTTTGCATGGCTTCGAGTCCTCGTGAGCCTGAGGACAACGCTTGCGGCCCTACGGCGGATCGACCAGGGTCGTGGGCGGAAAAGGGCGTGAAGGGTCGATCGTTACGCGTGAGTATGCAAAGCTTGGCCGGCGAAGAAAAGATGAGTCAGCGCAGTGGTACTAACACGGGCTGCCACAGTTTCAAGTTGGTATAGATATCATCAAAGGCCGTTTCCAGGCCGTATCCAATCCAATCCAGCAGAGCAGATCCTCGATCAGTGTCAACAGCCAGACGTCCTTCCCAATATCTTACCACCTTTGTCACCAGCGCTAGCCCTAGCCCGAACCAACATGATATATGGGTTAGTCGTCGGCATTTATCTAAAGAAACGTAGTTCTGCCGCCCCTATTATCCTGGCTCCCTTCTGTCAGCTGCGGCTGCTCACAGTACCAATACCACAATACCGCTGATACGTATCTCATTCACTTAGTTCAACCATCTTTTCTCCGTTATTTCTCAGAAATACGTCCTGGTCAAATATTGCAGGAAGAAATTTTATTCTCTTTGCACTTCTCTGTATAACTGGATCATTGGCAGTTTTTTTGGATATCGATTAGTTCTAAACTTTGTTAGGAAAAAGAGCACTTAAAATAATTGGATTAGTTGTTCTATTGACAGTGAAGTTGGTTTGTACACGTAAGAGTTAGGAAGGCAAAAACACCAGTATTTTTTTTCAAATATAACATGGTTGGCTCATAGAAGAGTTATTGCTTTAAGGGTCGTTAATTTGTACCCTAATTTCACTATTAGCATGAACAGGTAGAATGTAGGATAGTTGCAGCGATCGAGGCGCGAAATATTTACCCCGGATGATTTGAATCGACTACCAAGGACGGTAACGTAGTAGGAAAAAGTTCGCTAAGACAAGGGAGGCTAGAAATGCCATTTAGTATATATTCCTTGGCGAGAAGAAGCAGACGTGATCGTTGGAACCAGAACTCTCTTCGCCTGACTTTTCGGATTCCGCTGCGGATCCATCATCAGAGACAGTAATAAAAACCGATAATTCATGCATAGGGATTCCGTATCAGAGACCGTTCGCCGCCTTCCCGCACTACTTCGATTTGGAGGCGTACACAGACCGGATGCAACCATAAGGCGTCAGATAATGGAGCCAAAAGACTCAATGCCACAGCAAGAAACATCTGGAGTCATCTACAGGATCTGCTGCGGCTGCGGACACCGCAACTACGTCAGACTGGAAGACTTCCCAAGACACTAACTGCCGAACACGCGGCAGCAGTGCGGAGAGATGACGCCAATTCCCAAGTCGCGGTTTACTTGACGAGACCCGGCCACACCTTCAAATTTGATCACGCCAAGATTCTCGCGAGGGGTGACAATCACGTGAGACGCGATTTGCTTGAATCATGTTTTACGGGCCCCCAGTCTATAAACAAGTGCAATGACCTGCCCAATCCACCTTAGGCGTTCAGGCTCAGTTTGGCCAAAGCAATTCACCACTGGAGGAACGCACAGACGAACGCGTCGTATAATGCCTGCGCCAGGGAGCCAGATGGCCGTGCAATCATCGGGCCCGAGTCCAACGCGGGTGATGAAAGTTCAGCAGGTCACGATCCGCATATCGGCCACCAAGCTATCAGCGCAAAAGCAGCAAACTATCCTCGATAAGGGAGAGCCGTTAATTGTCATAGGTATGCAGTAATATAGCGATTGTATCCTATAAATACTGCAACTCCCTGGTGCATGAATTACCCTTTTCTACTATTTTCTCTGATAATGGATCCGGACATAACTTGAAACGTCAGATGAATAAAGGTCTTGTTTTAGCGATCGCATCTGATTCTCCTCAACTACGTCCTGGGACCTCATTTTTGCTCGTGTTTACAATATCCATTGTCTTTACATACGAGATGAGTTTTAAAAAGTACCTTAGAACGTGCCTCGATTGCCAGGACAAACAGTTGCTCGGTGCCCTGTATTCGTTCTCG